TAAAAAAGAGCTTGGGGATGGAGAGTTGGAAAAAGAAGATGTGGCAATCAAAGAAACAGCAGTTACCAAAGGCCAGGAATCCCTGTTCTAGGTTCCAGCTGCAGCTAGAATCTCTGTGGGCACATTCCCTGAGGAACCAACATGTAATTTTAAACTAGTCTGCTTTTGCTTTTCTGGTGCTTTCTAAGAAGCGACACGGTGAGTTGGAGAAATTCACAGGCTGTCACCCTGTGGGATTGATTCTGACAGCTCTGCTCCACTGCTGTGGATGTGCTAATGAAAAACACTAATTGGACTTGGCCAGTGGCTGGGACACGTCCCTTTCTTGGATTGGAAACGCAGTATCCCTTTCGAGTGGTTGCTTCTAGCACAGGGAAGGGAGGGGACTACGAGGGTGGCACTGCCCTTCGGGTGGGCAGGATGGGCATTTACACCTGACTCAGCCACCCCTGAGCTCCGTGGAAACAAAGGCAGGTCTCTTTGTCTCCCTGGAACTGAGAACGCAGCACAACGCTTGAGCCGAGTCTAGTCGTCTGTAAATGTTCAGCGAGTGAGTGAATGAATGAATTCTCGTATGGCCCCCCAGCCCAAGAAGGCCAGTTCCTCGGGCAACTCCCCCAAAGGATGGTCTCCGCTTGCTTAAAACCACAACCTCAAGTGGGCCACTTCTCATTCTAGTCCCCCATAGCACCGTCCACAGTAAAAGGTTCTGCATCCTCAAGGCTCAGAGAGGTTTACCCGCGGACCCCCACTCTGTCAGAAGGGGAGCGGGCCGCGGCCTGCGGAGCATCCCCTGCTTCCCAAGTGTGACTTGTCTGCCTCGTTCCCCACAGGTGTCCTCTCTCTCCCTGCGTACTTCAGCCCCTACAATGGCGGGTCCCTGGGCCACGACGAGAGAGCTGATGCCTACGCCCAGCTGGAGCTCCGGACCCTGGAGCAGTCCCTCCTGGCCACCTGTGTGGGCAGCATCTCGGAACTGAGTGAGTGCGCAGGCCCATCCAGCTGGGTGGTGGAGCAGCAGAGCAAGGCTCTGAGGGGAAGGCAGGGAGAGCGCGGCCTCTGGGCTCAGCCACCACCTCTTCCTCCTCCTCCTCCTCTGTGCATCTTGCCTTCCCTGAGAGCTAGATCGCTGTAGACCACAGGCTGCAAACTGGTGGCCTACGGACATGTATGGTTTGGCCAGCGTGTAGACTTCGTCACACACAAATCAGGATTTCTGGTTTCTCTTGAAAAATCACATGATCTAGCAACACCGCACCCATTCCTGCACGGCAGCCACCAGTGGGAGCTGAGGGGCAGTGCAGTGGGTGGCACACATTCCCCACTTTGCCACACGCCTGGTTGTCTCATACCTGGCCATCTCACTCCCTCTACCTGCCTGGCCCCAAAGGATCTGAATTTGTAACTAGAACTCTTTCTTGAAGCCTCAATATGGCAAAGGAAAGATGACAGCAGAGCTCCTCTGGCTGAAGGAGGGTGTGGTCGGGTGGCCTCTGCCAGGACACGGGGCACAGTTGGAAACCCTTGGCATAGGTCCTTACCATCCGACAGCTGCTTGAAAGTGTGTCAGCAGACGTGAAATCCCATGCCATCTCCTGAGCTCTCCCTCTGGTTACCCCAGTTAATGTTTGAGAAATCAGACTGCACTCTCTGCCATCTTAATTCGCCTGCATTCTGTTGGGACCACCCAGTGCAGAGCAGTGACACACACCAAGGGTCATACAGCACGTGGCATGGAAACCGTGTCTCTGCCTCAGTCTTCTCCATCTGTAATTCCCCTGAGTGTTCTGGCCCCTGAACAGCGAATGACCCTGTTTGTTTCAGATGCAGCTTCCTCCCTCCGTCCATTCTTCTTCCCCCTTCCCAGGACGGGAAGTGAAGGTGCCCAGTTCAAGGTCACAGAGCAGATCTGTAATAGGGCTGGGAGAGAAGGCGGGAGTTCCTGCCTCCTAGCAGTGTTACAGCATTCAGGGCCTGCATGTTGCCACCTGGTCCCCTGCCCCTTGAGGGACCCCACAGGAAGTAGGCTCCGGTGTATGGCTTGATCTCTGTCCCTGATAAATGTCTCCCGGACCATGGGCTGTCTCGGGGCCGTGCACAGTCTGTGCTTTGGTGAATTCTCCTGCCGTGAGGATAGGGAGGGACACACACAGCCCTCAGTCCACTGGAGAGCACCTAGGTTTTACTTTGCTTTTGAACATTAAATGAGCACCTACTGTGTGCAAGGCACCATGCAAAGCATCTTACTCACTTTATCTCATTTATTCCTCAGAACTACTCAGTGAGGTATGTCCCAATGAGAGAACTGAGGCTTAGAGCAGAAAAGTGATGTTCCCCAAGTCATGCGGCCAGTAAGGATCAGAGCAGGGGCCTTGACTGCAAGGGTGTCTGGCTTTATCGGCTACACTCTTAATCACCCAGGGCTATGGGCTTCCTGGACAAGGCTAGCAACCTGGTCACCAGCATCTCAAGGTAGCAGGGATCAAGGTCAGGGCTGGTCCTTGGCCTCTTCTCATGGTGGCCCTTCCGTGTCCACCACAGTCCCAGCCAGGCACAAGGAGGAATGTTCAGAAATTTCCCTCTGGGGAAGAGCTTGACATCCTTCCATCCCTACTGGTCAGCCCAGGGACCAAGCACCGAGTCCTTGGCTTTACCTTCTAAAACCATCCTGAGATTTAGTTGGCTCCTTTCACCACCTCTGCTGCTACCAGCCCAGCCCAAGCCTGGCCATGCAAAGCACAAATGGGGTGATGTCACTCATCTGCTCAGTACCTGTGCCCTCCACCCCGCCCCCACGGCTTACACTCAGTAAAACCCAAGACCCTCAACACCGGCCAGGATCCCACGTGTGACCTGGCTTCATCCCCTGCTCCTCGTATCCGGTTCACTGCGCTGCAGCCACCCGGCTTCCTGGCCAAGTGCCCTCCCACTCTGGGCCTTCCTTCTGCCTGCGGCATTTCCCCCCAGAGACCCAAACACATCGGTCCTTCGCTTCTTCAAGCTTCCGATGGCACCTTCTCAGACAAGCCTTCCCTGAGCTCGACACCCTCGTTCCACTGCCTCCCCTCGTGTGGTCTTGGTTTTATTCAAAGCACTGATCACCACTTGACATTTGTTACATATTTACTTATAGTTTGTCATCTCTCTTCTCTGCCTGAAATGACAGCTTCATGAGACTAGAGATTTTATCTCTTTTGTCCACTGCTGTATCCCCAGTGCTTGGAACAGCACCTGATGCTCAGTGTGTGTGTGTGTGTGTGTGTGTGTGTGTGTGTGTGTGTGTGTGTACACACGTGTGCACGCATGCTTGTGAGCGTGCATGTGTTAGAAGAAATGAGGTCTGTCCCACCCAATGTCTGTCTCCTAAAACTCGCCAAGGATGGGTCCATATCCTGGCCCAGCCACTTCTCAGGGCCAAAGGGAGAAGCACCCCCATTGCCTCTCTTCACAGACAGCAGAACAGGCTGAGTCCCGTGCCAAGATGCCCTGCCCCTCCCTCTGAAATCAGGGTTTTCGATAACCCACTGTGGAGGAGGGAAGAGACAGGTGGAGGCAGATATTGCACTTTTTCTCTCTGAGACTAAAGAGCTTAATGAGGCTAGTGATACTTGGCGCTGAGCTCCTTGGACCTGCCAGCGTATCCCGGGTTTGACACGCGTCAACTCCCTGCCTCGCCAAGACCAGCCTGCCAGGTAGGGTAAGAAGTTTCACTCTCGTATCAGGCCCAGCTTCCCAGGGAGCTGGGAACTTGTGTTTTGCTCTGTCCCTCCCTACCCGTGAAAATTTTAAAGGGAGAGAATAAGAAAGAAAAAAATAAATAAAACACTTCTTTTTAAAGACAGCCAGATATTATAGGCCTTATTTTGAAGACAGTGCTAAATTCCAGACTCTCGCCTGCTGCTTTTATTTGATGGCTCATAATGAGGGTTGGGAAGGAAGACCAGAGTGAAACCCGCAGCACCTCTAATAAAGTCTCTCACGGTTAACAAGGGCTAAGGACTTGTTTTTCCTTGTCTGGTGGGTGTTTCTGGGCTTCAGACTAAGGTTTCACTGAGCTTAGGAGCAACTGATTCTCATGTACAAGGAAGTTCAGGAGAAGCTCCGAGTACCCACCTGTGCTAACCAGAGCCCAGCCCGGATGGGGGCTTCTCTCAAAGTAGCTCTGAATGAATGTCTAAAAAAATGAAATAAGACATGTAAAATGCAAGCCTAATTTTTAAAATTATTATTAGATTAGCTAGACATAAAATTACCGTCAAGTTGCTATGGAAGTTTTTTTTTTTTATAAATCACTCTCAATTTCCGAAATTAACTTGTTATGAACCAGTAGGTTTGTGGGCCTGTCCCGGTTCACGGTCCACACTTTCCATAGCAATGGCGCAACGGCCAGGAACGTGCGTTTGGGAAACAGGGACCCCAGTTCAAGCCCTCGCTGATTCACTTACTAGCCATGCAACTGGGACAGATCATTTAACTTCTGGGAGCTTGTTTCCTCATCTGTAAGTTGGAAAAACCCCCCTGTACAGGGCGGTTGTGCAAATTAAATGAGATTTTGTCTATCTTTTCACATCTGTCACAAAGCCTATACAACATAGGGGCAGGGAGGAAAAATCACCCTAGGAGAACATCCCAAGCAAGCTGCTTCCTTCAGCCATAAGTGGGTCGCAGAATCTGATCAGAGTTGTCCGAGGGTGTCTGTCTTGCTGGTCTTTGAGAGAACCCGACCACAGCAGGGCTTGTATGGAGGAAGCTGGGGCCTCCATCTCCAGCTGCCTGCACAGTTTTCCTGAACCTTCAGGGGTCTCTCTGTTCCCAGCTTTTCTTTTAGGAAACCCTTAGGAGGAGCTTCCATTTCTTTCTTGATTTCCTTGCCTGAATTCTGGCTGGAAATGTGCTACCAAAGGGTTCTCACCAATAACAATAAAACAACAATAAAAATAATTAATGATAATGACTTCTACCTTGTCGAGCCTTTGAAATGATATTTCAACAGGATTTCTCTTTGATGCTATCACAGACTCTCTGACTTCTCCTTGTGGTCCTATGGCCCTGCCAAGAGTTATGACATTCAGGCCTGGAGAAACGGGAGCCAGGTTTCAACTTATTGCAGCCGACCTAGCTGTACAACTAGCTGCTGTGAGGTGGGCTGGCCCAGTGGTTGTGACACCAGTTTCTACCACCCAGGAGCCTGAGGGCAGGGCTGGGATCTGGCATTTCAAGGCCCAGACTCCTCCTGTCCTGGGAAATGTGGGGCAGCGTTCGACTATAGGCAGTCGTCCTGGAAGGAAGAGTTCCAAAGGATATAATAATAACAATAAGACAATAATGACAGTGTTACATTTAACATTAATAATAGTGTTATATTTAACCTTACCAAGTATTTACTGTGTGCAAAGCGTGATGTTAAGTGCTTTGCATTTATTATTTCTTTGAGTCCTCAAAATTGGCAGGGTAAATACTGTTGTTTCCATTTTACAGACGAGGAAACTGAGGCTCTGATGATTGCATAAGGGAACACACACTGGAAGGAACAGAGCCCTGATTTTGAAGCCAGGCATGTCTGATTCAAATCTATGCTCTTATTAGTTTACCTGATGGTTTTCAAACCTGAGCGGGCATTAGCATCACGGAGGGAACTTCCACAAACTACAGGTGCCCAGATTCTGCCCAGACCAGTGACATCAGAACATCAGGGACGGAGCCAGGTGTGAGGAACTCACTGCCCAGAGCCCTCTTAGCCCTGGGGTTTGCCGGGAGCGCGCAGCGCAGGCAGCTGGACCTCAGCTGCAAGGACAAACAGAGTCAGCAGTGTAGGCGGGAGTGAGGACCCAGGGCCGGGGGGGGGGGGGGGGAAGGGGACAAGGAAGACTCTCTCCCCATGGAGGTCTCCAATTCCGGGGTGTCATTTGTCCCTGCTTGGAAACTGAACACCATCGCTGTGGCTGTCGCAGGAGAATTTGACAGCTACTGAGCTCATGTCAAGCCTCACTAGAGTTATGGTTAAAGATGAAACAAGTTGATAAGGCTGTTTCTTCACTCATTCTCCAAATGTCTTCTGCGTGGCTGGTATACAGCAGTCCCTGTGCAGGGCTCCGGGGACACAGCACAGTGGAGCACGGGGCTCCGGAAGCTGCGTGAGGAAGGTCGATGGAATAAATGAATGAACTGGGTCTGCCATACATTTAATAGCCCTTCACTGCCCAGATGAAAACCTGTTTGCTTGTCAGCCGTGTCCCCAAGGCTCCCTGTAAGGAGCCGCCACAGGCGGGGGTGAAGCTGAGCCGCAGGGGAGGCCGCCCTGGGTTCCCAGGCCTGTGGGGAACGGGAAGGAGCCACTTCTCCTGGAGCGGAGGTGCCTGCAGGTGCTGGGGCTGTTTCAGCCTCTCCTTTCTCAGCATTGTGGCCTCACACAATGATGGGACGTTTCCTGTCGGGGCTGGTGGGATATTGAAAAGGCTTAACTTGGGCAGAAACATAACACAGGATATGGGGACCTGAGACCCCACGGACTCCAACACGGCAGGCCGTGGCCCAGGTCACAGTGAAGTTCATGGACTTTGGAGTCAAACAGGCCTGGATTCAAATCTAGACTCTACCATTTACTAGCCACGCACCCATGGCTAGGTAACAACCTGTGTGCACCGTGGCATCCCAGTGACCAGAACACCTGCGGTCCGGAAACGTTTGTTTACCAGATAAGCCTCAATTGCTTTATCTGTTAAATGGGTTATTCCCATTTTTTAATAATACTGACCCCCTAGCATTGTAAGGATGAGATTCCATCCCATTTCTAGGGAATTGCATACGTGGCACACAGTAAGCCCCTACTGGGTGGTGGTAACTGAGGTGACGAGGGTGGAGGGACCTTCTGTGCTGGCGTACCTGGGGCTTGGCATAAGACAGCCAGGGGAGGATCACTAGACAGCCTGGTGCTGGCTCTTAGAGGCTGGGAGAGGAGAGCCAGAGAGATTCCCTCGGTCCAGGAGCTGGGGAGAGGCCCGTGGGGTGGCGGAGAGAGTGGATATGTTGAAAAAGAAACCACATCAGCATAAGTTCTGGAGGGGACAGGCCCTGCCAGTGTTTAATTCAGCTGTTAGGGCAAGGCGGGAAATGAAAGGGAAACTAAATTGCTATTGTGTGTCTAGGTGACAGTTTCCACCTCCGCCTGCTGGCTCGGGGTAAACAGTAATTACCCACTGAGGCGAAGGGAGCTTTCCCCGGGAGCATCCGTGGAAGAATGTGGGCTGTGAACTCAGACTCTGTCTTCTTTTCTCTTCCTCCCTTTCTGCCCTCCCTGCCCCCACCAGGTGACCTGGTCTCCCGCGCCATGCACCACATGCAGGGGCGCCACCCGCTGTGTCCGGGCTCCAGCCCTGCCCGCCAGGCCCGCCAGCCACCACAGCCCATCACCTGGTCCCCCGACGCCCTGCACACGCTCTACTACTTCCTGCGGTGTCCACAGATGGAGTCCATGGAGAACCCCAACCTGGACCCCCCGAGAATGACCCTGAACAATGAACGGTAGGGATCTTCCTTGGGCCGAGCACCTGGTGGGACGTGCTTCCAAATGTGCATTAACTGACTGACAACTGACCACCGACAGGGTGAGGAAGGTGCCCTGGAGCTGGCCCACGTGCCTGTTAGGAGGCCCGGGAATTCAGACGGAGGAAGGCCGGGCCTCGGGCTGCAGTGGGGTCACCGAGGCTCAGAGTATGGGCTTCAGCCTCTGCCGACACTAGCACCCACGAGCTGCGCTGTCTGAAATTCAGTTGCCTCTTTGTAAAATGAGATGGTCACACGTATCAGGAAAGGTGGTAGTGTGAATCGAGCGAGCTAGTTCTCTGAGGAAGGTACTTAGGACAGGCTCTGGGTGCTAACTGGCCCTCGGTCAATGGTGGCTGTCACCTTGTTGATGTCCCTGCTGTCATTGTGTTGTCAGGGATCCTGGGCATGTTTTGCTTCATTCACTTAGTTTACAGATGAGACCGTCATAGCCCTGCAGTTCTTCAGACTCCAGCAGGTTAGTGGTCGAACAGCCCCAGGACCCAAGCCTGCAGCTCCCAGTCGGGTGGTCTCTCTACAGGGTCCCAGCCTTTTCCCAGCAGGGGGCCAGGCTGCTAAGAACAGATGTACAGGTTGTGTACTGCACGAGGGGACTCAGAGAGCGGCATGAGTAGGGCATGCACATAGGGCCACGTCAGCCTGAGGACAGGATGCCTTTTCTAGTTGGCCTACTTAGAGGGCTGCCTTTTTGGAATTTTCTCCCTAGAAAGTACGCTTTTTAATAATTTGCTCAGAACGCTATATGTGCTGGCATAAGCCTCGCCTGGAGGGCCCCACACGGCCACTCAAGGCAAGGTCTGCCCGCGGCCTCAAGAGTTGTGTGCATGAAGGCCCAGGGAGTGGGCAAGCCTTGTATCTGGTTTAGGAAGCCCCCTCTGCGTACATTTCACCACACAGCAGGGCGCAGGAGAGGCAGGGAGCCCAAAGGACCCGGCACCCCGTCTGGAGGAAGGTGATCGGAGAGCTCAATATACGGAGTGCTGGGGGTGCTCCAGTCCTCCCGCCCGGCTGCCCGTTGTCTTTGGGTGGCGCTGGGTCTCATCAGCTCTGTGGTCTATGGCCAGGCCCACTTCTCCAGCGCCTCCAGGGTCCCAGAAGACGAAGGTGCTAGCGGCTTTATTGGCCATTGACTGCGTGCTGGGCACCGTGCGGAGCCCTTTGCAGGGGGCTGCTCGCTGAATTCCCACACCACCAGGAGGGGGTGCTCTTCACAGCCCTTCTCGCAGAGGGTAAGTGGAGGTGCAGAGAGACTCCGTAACCGGCCAGGGCACACGGGCCGTGCCCCTCGTGACCATGCACCACACCGTCTGTCGTTAAGAGAAGTGTGAAGCAATGGTGGCCCCGTACATACACACAGTCCCTGTAAAGGCCACCTCTGCTGTTATTGTTACTCATTCTGTTATTATGTCACCATCGTTTTATCTCCCTGGGAGTTGGGGGATAAAGCTGAGCAGGGCCACCCGGGCCTGACACAGAGCAAGAAGGCCGCAGGTGCAGCCCCGGGTGTCCTGAAAGAAGCATCCAGTGGGAGGTGGAGCCGGAGCAGCCCCTGCACCCCAGCTGTTTCTGCTTTGTGGAAAAGTGTTGTGGTTGCAGGAGTTGGCTGGGAGGAGAAAGGGCAGGGAAAACATCTGGGGAGGAGGCAGCGGAGGAAGCTGCTTGCTGTTTGGTAAGGTCCCTGAGGGCGCTGGGCCTAGGCCTGGTCACCCAGGCAAAGGTGGCTGGGAGGAGAGGGCCAGGAGCCTTCCTCGGGCTTCCTGCCTGAGCTGGATGGCCGGGCCCTCAAGCTGTGACCTGGCTGTTGGCCACAGGGCTAGCAGGCCCGCGGGGCTGGTGTTCCTCTGCTGGCACTTTCCGTGGCCCCCTTGGACATCTTTGTCGTGCCCTCTGGCTTTCCTCCGGGAGGGTTCCCAGCCCCCATACTCTGACATACAGCATCAGGGGTTCTTTGTGACCCGAGTTGCTTGTCCGTATGTGGTTGCACCAGCTGAGTTCGCATAGCAATACACACATGTGCATGTGTTTAGATAGCTATTTATTTTAAAACCACACTGTCTGCAGCACAAATAAGTTGGTAGCAAAGGTATTTTTCCATGAATCATTTCAAATGAGTATTAGATATGTGGGGATTTGGAACCACCATTAGGAAAAAAAAGAATCTAAAATTTTTAAATTTTGACACTGAAAGGACACCCTAAAAATACCAGGCGAGCAGACAGCCCAACGGCTTCTGATGGCCTGGCCCCTGGCTGCGAGCAGATCCTGCCACCCCTTGGCTCACTCCACCCCAGAGGCCACGGAGAGCCTTCCTGGGGGCACTGAGCTCGCGGCACCACAGCAGGCTGGGCTGGGCCCACTCCCCCTGGAGACTCCACCACCCCGACATCCTTACCAGAGCTCTGAGGGAAACCTTCTCTCCTGCTACAGAAAGTAGCTGGAGTGTGCTGGGGTTCCAGGGAGACAGATTCGCTTTTGTGAGTTTGGGGATGTCTGTCTGTCTCTCCTTCATTCCCCTGAAGCTCATTCCTCTCCTCCGCCTGGGAGCAGAGGGGACTGAGTCCACCCAGCCAGAATTAGACAGAGACTCTGATTTCAGGTGTGACAGTGGGTGTCTGGCCCCAGAGGCCTTCTGTATGGGGACTGATGACTCTCTGGGTCTGTTTCGGATTAAGTGACCTCCTCCCCTGCCTCACACATGTTGGGGAAGGAGCCCAGTTTGGTGACGTGGCTTTGGCAGCGTGGCACCCTTAACAGTGCCACTCAAGTCTGTGCTTCTGTATTTCTGCTTTGAAGAAACATAGCCAATTCCTGCCCATTAGGGGCCGCGTGTGACCACAGCCACGCTGATACAGGGAGGTGACACGTGTTTATCCCTTTTGCATGGGGCTCATTGTGGCGTTCCCTGCTAAGCCACGTGCTCTTCCTGCACCGTTGGGTGAGGCTCAGCATCTCTCCGAACAAGGGCCTCTCCCCAGGGCTGCCTGCTCTGGGTTTGGGTGGGGAGACGATGGGAAGAATTGCAGGGACAGCAGGAGCACAGGGTGGCAAGTGGGACAGCTTGGTAGGGAACAAGAAGACTTCCTCATGTCATTCTCTCTGCTGCTGGCAGGGAGCCTGGGGCATCCGTGGACAAAGCACAGGCCTTAGGGTAGAGGCCTGGGCTTGGGTCCATACAGGGCCCCTCCGTGCCTTAGGCTTCTCACCTGTAAAATGGGGCTGTATAATTCTGTCTGGGAGGATGAAGTGAGACAACATATGCTCTTCCTTTGAAAGGACATTTCTATTAATACGTACTTCTGTTTCTTTTATGCCCACAACACATCAGCAAGGGAGGTGCCGTCGTCACCTCCATTTTGCAAATGAGGACAGGAGGCCAGAGAGCACCCAGCCGGTACCTAGCTAGGTGAGGGTTTGAACCAGGTCCCTCTGACCTCAAAGCCCTTGCCTTTCCCTGTGCCAGGCCATGGCTTTCCCGACTGGCTGCTGAGACCTGGTCCTATAGCTCTAAGACACCCTGGGTGGGCCCTGGCCTTTGGGGCTACCTCCTCTGGGGCCGTTCCAGCCACCTCCCTTGTTGTCCTGGGTAAGCACTGCAGCTGGACCCTCCTGGGTGCCTTTCGCACTGGCAGCTTTGCATCCCGGGCACTGGGCAGGCACAAGGCAGGGTCTAAAACACAGGATTAGTCACAGCTGCTGCTCTGCAGGGTGTGTCGTTACCCGAGATCAAGCTCAGAAAGTGAAAGAACCGCCTGTCAGGGATCTAGGAGGTTGCCCAGGGAGATCGGGGAGCCTCCTTCCCGGAGGCTGGGGGGAGGATGGACAACCATCTGGTTAAATGTGGCCCTCGCTGGTCATGCCTGCAGGCAGAGGGACAGGCTGACTGGAGTAGGGTCCCGGGCAGAGATATACCTCCTCGGTCGTCGCTCTCCTGGGGAACAAGGAGTCCAGGGAGGTAGGGAGGAAGACTGCACAGACATGCAGGAAGGCAGGAGGCCTGCCAGCTCTCTGGCAAATTGCTGGAAGAAAACGTCACCAAGCAGAGAAGATGGAAAGAGATAATGCAGTCCTAGGTGGAGAGGGGCCGAGGTAGACAGGAAGTGACCGATTCTCTGCATCAGAGCTGGAGCGCAGGAGGGCTCCAGAGTGCATCTACTGTTCAGCAGCAGCAGAGAAGCCAGACTCTTGAGGAGTGGCCAGGCAGGGAGCATGGGAATGGCAGAGGCCACTGGTCCACGGGGGTGGGGGTGGTCCATTGCTTACACCCCAGGCCCAGGCCCCTGCCGCTCTTCCCAGTCCTGCATCATGCCCCTTCATGGAAGAGGCACACTCAGAAGATTTGGGGCCTGCTGGTGTGCAGGACACTAAACCAGGAGGAGCCTGGGGACCTACCCAGAGTCTGATTTTGGGTGAAGCCTAGAAACATCTGGTGTCATGATTCCTTAGCCAGCCGGAACAGCCCAATCTCAGGAGGGAACTGCTATTCAAAGGTGTGTGTTTGAGGTCAACCTTGCCACTTTCATGACCTTCAACCAGTCACTGAACCTCTTTAAGGCTCGGGTTCTGTAGACAACTAGCATTTAGTCCTTACAATTGCCTGTAGGGTATGAGGACTGAACAAGTTAACATACTTTTAGAAGCGTGCCTGGGACACAGCAAACGCCACCTGAGTATGAATCAGCTCTTGTGATTATTGACATGGTGACTTGTGTCGGGCAGGGGAGCAGCATATGCAGAGTGCGTGTGGCAAGAGGAATCAGGGCACCCAGGAGAGGCAGGGGAGACCCCCCTGGTGCAGAATGGAGTGGAGCCACAGAGGTAGTGGGACCTTGTGGGCCAAGACAGGCAGAGGGCCGAGCTGCTGGCCGAGAAGGTCCTGCTCCCAGTAGTCTACTACTTGTGATTGGCTGGGTTTTATTTGCCCCTCTCCCCACTTCCCTTCTCAGGACCTGAACCCTTCC